GATCTAATGAGTTTGAGAACAAGTAATGATTCTCAAAGCACTATTATTTCGCTAAATACACAATAAATAAATAAATAAATTAAATTATAAGAAACTTAACAGTATTTAAACAAGGAAATAAGGTTTTACTATATCATGTGAGAACTCCCATAAATTGATTACGTGATCCAGAGAGTTTAAGAATAAGTAATGATTCTCATAGCACATGATTAATGAGTTTAATTTGAAAAAAAGTATCCCGATGAATTATCAAAAGTACAAAAGAAAAGATACACCATATATATCCATATAAGGCCCTGTCAACGACAGAAGAATATTAGTTGATATTACTAATGATATTCTCACATGGAAGATAATTGTTGGACATAATATTTTAGGGCTCGAATGAGGTTTTTTTTACATGTTGATGACTTGTGGTATTATATTTGTTGCTTATAAATATAATATAGTAGCTTTAACAAACTTGTAAATGAGGAGGATTCTAAGTGTTAGATGATAATGATTCCTTATTTGCAAGAATATAGAATTCCTTTGTAGATATTAATAAGTCTTATATGTAAATTGCAAGTCATTTATTTTCTATAATTAGGATAGTTTTTGTTTTGTATTTAAACTCTATTGTCTACATTATCAATCTATATATAAATCATATATTATCACGTCCTCAAATCGAAATCATATATACTCCCAAACATAAGAGTTCTATTGCTTTATGCAACTTTCTTAAATATTTTTTGCAAAGCATTTATCATTAATTTTCGACAGATAAAGAAATTTATTTAGCATGTAAATGATTTTTTATGTATTTATTTAGCATATAAAGAGATTTTACGATCAAAACTGGATTGAATAGGAAATTTTTATTTACCTGAATCTGATTTAATATTTTTTTTCTAATTATTTTTTTACTTAAAACTCATGTACATCATTAAAAGCAATCAAATTTATCCTTACTAGTGACCTTTGAATGAACTATGAAGTAGCAAAAATTAAAAATCAATTATCACATCATTAAAAATAGTCGGATCTATCAATTTCCGATTAAAAAAATTGATACAAAAAAGAGTGACATTTTTTTAGTGATAATGTCGGATTTATCACTTATTCCGACTAAGAGATTTTTTTTATTAAAAAAAGAGTGATATTTTTTAGTGAAATAATACAAATTAAGTGACTTTATTCACAAAAGTTAAGTTACTAGTGAGTTATTATAAGATTATATCAATCAATACTTAAATATTAAATACGATTATATAATTAATACTTTATTCTCAAAAGGCGATCTAAGACTTCAGAAGGGTATAGATGGCACAATCATGGAAATGCACATACAAAAATATTTAAGACAAATGAGATGAAAATTTTATTTTTAGGAATGAATAACTAAAGCTTGCAAAGAAAATATTAAAAAAATAAATTAGGTGGAGGGTATGTTTTAACAAACAATTTATTCTTAGAAATTATGCAATGAATATTATTTTAAATATGACAAACCAAACAAGCAATAAAAACTAATCCTAACATAACTAATTTCAGCTTAAATTATCTTAGCATAACCTATCTTAGCATAATTTGTTTTCGAACTAAATAATCCCTAAAAGTTAAATGTCATAAGTTGAAAATATTCAACTTTTGGCATCTAGCTTATTTTTGTATATATATTTTTTAGCGTAAAAGCATTTTTTGTTACAAATCCATTTAATATGGATGTTTCTTTTCATCAACCTAACGTAATGCATGTATTAATTTAATGTAAGAATTAAAGATTACTAACGTATTTTGGTTAAGGTAGTAAACGAATGATTTCTACCTCTTATAAAAGGGTCTTCTTCACCCTTAAGAAATACACAATTGAAGAGATTAAAATAAGGCTCTCAACTTTATACTTTCCATCACACTTTGCCTTACTTTCTTGTTTAAGTATTATTGCATTTTCCTCTTGTTTTACAACACGTTATCAGCACAAGTCTCTAACCAACTGAGACCTACTTAATTCGAAATTAATTTCTAAAAGTTAATCAACTTTCTTTTAGAGTCAGGTATACATTTATATGTTTATAACACCTCTAATAGGACTTGCATAAATCTTTGATCGATAATTTAATTACTGCATATATAACTTGATTTAGCTATTATTATGATACTTTACTAGGCATAATAATCAATACGTTTCAAGTTTATCCCAGGGAACCTCATCTTCGAGCTGCTTTTCACATGTTGAGGTATCTCAAAAATGATCCCACCTTGGGCATCTTCATGTCGTCTTCTCCTAATTTTGAAGTTCAAGCTTTTTGTGACTCTGATTGGGCATCATGCCCTGACTCTAGAAAATTTGTGAGTGGCTACATTGTTTTGCTGGGAAGTAGTCCCATCAGCTGGAAATCTAAGAAACAGGAAACCATTTCATTATCCTCTGCAGAAGCTGAGTACAGATCATTACGAAAGGTTGTTGGAGAATTGGTTTGGCTACAACGATTATTCACTGAGTTGACTGTTCCTCCAATTGGTCCTTTCCCAGTATATTGTGATAGTCAGGCTGCCCTTCACATAGCCAAGAATCCAGTTTTTCACGAGAGAACCAAACACATAGAGGTCGATTGTCATTTCGTTAGATCCAAGCTTCAAGAAGGTTTAATTTCATTACATCACATCAGCACTGGCGATCAATTGGCTTTATTCACACCACTTAAACCACCAGGGAGCTACCATTTTTCCTATTTTGATAACTCAAACTATAATCTTAAGATTAGAAGTGAAGGATCTAATTTATAAGTAATTTCAACGTTAGATATGAAAAGAACTGTTGAGATTAATAAGTTTATACATAATTAGTTAGTTAGTTTAAACAGTGTTACTTTCACAGAATTAGTTAGTTAACAGTTTTGTAGTTAGTTAGCTTTCTGTTAGCCAGCTGTCCTAGTTGTTAGATATTTTCTAGTTTTCAGTCTGTATATATATAGCTCACTGTATCTAGTTCTAATTCAGTTTTCATATTTTCAGAAATGAGAAATATGCTTTCTCAATTAACTCTCTCTTAATCTTGAGTTCAGTAGGTTCTAGAATCCACCATTAATGGTGATTCTCGCTGCTTTCATTCTGAGTTTTTACAGTATGTAGTAGTGAATAGAATATCAACTTGCTCATCTGTAAATATCCTTCAAGAAAGCTCTTCAATTTTTTAATGACTATGGAATTCACAACTATTTCAGCCTAATAGCATGCAAATCACAATTTTTGAGGTAACCACATTAAACAAGGACAAGTTCGACCAAGAAAGCATGTAGGGAGTTTCGAACTTGAGACCTCTCATTTGGGAGGTTCCCCGGCCCGCTCCTCATCAGGCTCATGGTCGGAAGATTGCAAGTTCAAATCGTGTCCCCACCTAATCAGTACTGGAGTTACAACCAAATAAGGAATGAGTACTCCGTTCTTATTTCATTGTACGTTATATTTTTTGTCAGCCATCAATTAATAGTCATAATTATATAGAATATACAATATATTTCCTAATTTTCCAAATATTAGCCCATCGCTTCTTGTAGGCCTCTTAAATTAGGCCGAAGAGAAGGAAATGAATTTTTAGAAAACTCAAAGGTGCAAATTCATAGTGCACTCTTGCAGGCACTATCAATTATCATAGATTTTTTCACCTTAGGCTTCGTCTTATTATTCAGTTATAATGTCTGGTTGCATTGAACATAATACCATATTCAAGGAAATTCTTTTGCTCTTTTCAGGAGAAGAATTTACTAGGTATTTTTACATCTTCAATCAATATTTTATCAAAACATAATAGTACAAGTGATGACTTAGATGAAGTCTAAGCCGAGCTTACTGTTTACCTTCCTTCCGCAAAAAAGAGAAAAGCTTTGAAGAGGGAGGGCTTCTACGTGAATACATTAGCACGGGCCTTGGCCTATCTAGTACAAATTAATAATGTTCTCTCTTACTAAAATAAATAAATCTTTTTATATCCACATTATACCATATACTCTCACCTTTGTAACTGTATTTCTCTCTTAAGTTATCCTTCATATATGTATATCAATGTGCATGTCTATTATAAAACATGTATCATTGACTGTATCTTAATGTACATTAGTTGATTTGTCCTTTAGAAAATATACAATTATATAAGTTGTCCTTATATTAGAATGTATATCTCTCATAAAACTTGTATAACATATCATATATCAATTATTTAACAAACGACGATAAACGTCATTTGCTTTAGGCTTAGTTTGTTGAATAAATATTTGATTAAAAAAATATGTTAATTTTATCCAAAAGTTTGTATATACATTTTAATAGCCTAACGAAAATTCCCTTAAAGATCACTATCAGAACTGAATTGGTGCACACCCTCATCTTCGGCTAACCCCTTAGGGGTCGTTTCATAATTGGTTTAGAGGTAAGTTATGCATGTATTAAATAGTGCATAAATAATTACATGTTTAGTAGCCGATTCAACATAAATAATCCATATATAAGATGAAAAACTTTCGCAAATAACCACTATAATAAACTTAATTATGCTCCATATATAACTATAGTTTGCATATTTATGGGTTGTAGCTACAGTTTAAGCTGCCTCGTTTGTATAATTCGCGGATTTATATAATTCGCAGGTTTGTATAATTTGCGAGTACATTTGCATAATTCAGTTATAAACTCGAAATAACGAATTTATACAATTACAAACATCAGAAGTGTAAATAGTTATACAAAGTTTGAATTATACAAATGTGTGAATTATACAAAACTAAACAGTTGAGCCGCATAATTATAGCTAAAAGTAGGTCGCAAATTGTAATTAAGGCTAAACTATAGTTATGTTAACTAATTAACTAGTATATGTTTGCTTATATGCATAATTTTCCCATGAATTTTGATTTGCAATTTAGAAACCCGCATAACTATCTAAAAAGTGATTATTTGTCAAAATTTTCCAGATTTTGCTTTTATGGGCCGAAAGGTTGACTACAGAGTCAAAGCCCAAATTCGTATCTGAAAAACTCAACGTCCTCTTCCTCAGTCATTTCACTTCAGTTCCAGTATCCGTAAAGCTCCGACAGACGGCGAAACTGGGAACATACGATCAACAATGGCGGGAACTTCACGGGGAAGTACTCGGAGCAGAGCTTCGAAATCTTCCACCGAAAATCCCCAAATCCGTAATCCTAATCAGATTCTACGGAAGGATAAAACTAGAAATAACAGCTTAATTCACATTTTCAGCGTCAACCTCAAATTCCTTATAGGGTTTGGAATTATTGCCTTTGCGATCGCACTTTTTTTCATTTATACACTCATTAATCCCATGGAGAAACCTCAAAAACCAAGAGTCATCACTCCACTTCCAGCTCCAAAACTAATGGATCTTCCAATGGTAAATTTAACTCACAAACAATTGATTTCTTTTCCATTTACAGATTTTCTCTTTTCATTTTGATAATTCTATTTTTTTTCCTGCAGTTTCAAGGAGAGCATAGAGAGAGCTTGTACTGGGGTACATACAGGCCTCAGGTTTATTTTGGAGTTCGTGCAAGGTACGTATATTCTGCTCACATGGTTTGATTTTCTACCTCTTGGTATAATTCTTGTGTATGGGTTTTCCTTTTCTCCCACAACATCAATAATATATTACTTAAATCAAAAATATATTTCTCATTGGTAGAATTTGTTTTATTTTATATATGTTTGGGCTGTATCATCTGGCAATCTTTTGCCTATAATTAAAAGTAGCAGAATATAAATAGAGGTGCACACATGGGAAGTGTCATAAGTTTTGCTTTAGGTTGACTGAGTACAAAATTAGTTAATATATATGAATGCTCACGATAATATTTGGAATGAATCCATCCTTGTAGAAAGGAATGGATGTTGAGGATTGGTAGAGTTGATCCAACTAGTTTGAGATTGTGACATGGTAGTAGTAGTTGTTGTATCTTAAGCTACAAGGTAAGGATTAAGGCTTAAAGAAAGTTTCATGTTTTTGGATGGTTCTTTCTTTTCCCTTTATCTTTTAATTTTAAATTGTCCATGAGTCAGGTTTGTCTTCATGAGTCGTGGTTTGTGATGTAAATAATCTAGTTACTGACGTATCGCAATCTATAATAATAAAAATTATGCCTTTTTCTGATAAGGAAGATCATTATGTCCTTTCATCACAATAGTATTTGGGCACCAATCAACATTAAGAGATAGCAGACTATTCTTTTTCTTGGGAAACATGGATATTTTTTTTATTCTTTTTCGATGACTATCTTCAATGATTTTCTTAGTTAACTTCTGTTCCATTATGGCAAAAAGATTGTTCTTCTTAGAGTGAGAAAAATCTTTAGAACTTTTAGATATTAGTGAGAATGTTAATGGATGGTTTTTTGGCTAATTGAAAAGAGTCCTCATTTCGAAGATGACTGAAAATTGATGAAACTTTTCATATAGGATGTACCTGAATTTCAATTGCTATGGTCCTTTTGTAAGGATAGAATCATGCATAGGATACGGGAAGCCTCTACCAAAAAATGGATAGAATATAGGATGGAGGGATACTGCTAGGAGAATTCTTTAGTTCCTAGGCAAACCTTGCACCTTACTGTGTCGCACCACGCCGGAGTTTTCATGTACAAATGTTGCAGTTGAACAAGATTGGTTGGAAAATGGGGTAAATGTTGAAAAAGTGGTGGATAATATGGTCAAAATTGCACCCAAGGGTGTAGCCTAGTGGTTAATAAAGTGGGATTGAGCACCATGAGGGCTCAAGTTCAAATCCTAGTAAAAACAAAAACACTAGGTGATTTCTTCGTATATGTTCTAGCCTTGAAGGACAGAGTTATCTGGTATCTGTTGTTGGTGGGAGGTGACAGGTATCCTGTGGAATTAGTTGAGGTTCGCGCAAGTTGACCCGGACTCTACAGTTATAAAAAAAAGGGACAAGGGTCAAAAATACCCCTCAACTTTGTTTTATTGGTTGACTAAACCCTTACCGTTAAAAAGAAGTTAGTTTTACCCCTGCCGTCTACAAACTCATCATATGTACCCTCCAAATTAACGATTTGCCCCAAATCAATCTCAAATTCTCAATTTCGACCCGAATTACCCATTTAAAACTCATTTAGAATGAAATTCTTTTCTAATCTGATCCGACCCATATAAAACCCACCACCATTATAAACAAAATTTAATTTAATTTTCAATTTTCTCAATCTTGTTGAGTCCACCAAAACTAAAAAGAATGGATTTCTCCCTTGTCATTGAATTTGTTGTAGTGTTACTCATTCTGTAAATATTTTCAAAGCCATTGTTAAAAGCTTCTAAGGGTACTAGTTTTTGAATTGGAGCCTGAAACTTGAAGAACCAACCATGGAAACTTCATAGCCATTAATGGAGCTTGGAGCTTGAGTTTGAATTTCGGATTTTACAAGCGAGTTCCAACTTCGAAAAATCAATAATTTCAACTTCTTCCCCAAAATACCCAAATCGAAAACATCACACCCATTTCTTCACAACTGAAATCACAGATCTGAATTTGTGTAATTAGATAATTCCCACCCAAAATTGCAGCAGCATGAACTTTTTAGTTTCTTTCTTGTTGTTGTTTTCTGGTGGAATTCGACCGCCTAGTACTGCCTTTTCGCCGTCGTGTGCGGCGGATTTGAAGAACTAGTGAATATATCTATACAAGTGACTTTTGGGGAAGAAGGTTATTGGATTATTTCAATAGCAATATTGTTCTTATTTTTGTGTATGAACATAAGGCTGGCATGTCTTCTTCCTCTGCTTTTGCTCCTAACATTGCTTCTTAAAAGCTCATTAATGGCTGGAAATTTATTTGTTCATTAGGAATTGAAATGGGTTTTGGTGAATTCATTACTTTTTTTTTATACATTTGGTATGTAAGATCAGATTAAATGGGTTATGGGTCGGATTTAATTGATAATTTGTTTT